TGAGTTATACCCTGCAGTGTCTGACCCCTGGAAAGTCCTGTGCATTCCTTTCTGTACCTCTTTATGTTTCTTCTGAGGTTTCTTTATAGAGAATTGCTTTTCTCTCTGCTGTTCCAAATTCCTTCTTCTCGCACCCTCCTGTTTGTGCCCCTTTCTCTGCCTGGTGCTGCCTGCACAGTCTGGAGCTGACATCTGAGGAAGGAAAAACAAACTCCTCTGGTTGTACCCAAGAACAGCACGAGCAGGAAGAATACAAGAGGCCATGCACAGCTTCTCACTCATGTTGTTTTAGAAAATTTTCCCCACAAAAATTCCACCCAACCCCTCAAGTCAACTATTTGTTGTAAAAAAACACCAGTCTCATTCTCAGCTGCTATGCCCAGGAGCAGCTGAACAAATTGCCTTGTATTAGTAAAAGAGAGATCTTGCTAAATGTGGATGAAAATCCTCAATCTTTTCTTAGTTACCATCTGGAGAAAATTTATCATTTTCGAGTTTTCTGATTGGCTTCTATAGACAGCAAAACTGACCTTCAATTTTGTCCTTCAGAGATATCTAGAAGAGATTCATGAAAATATAAACTCCGGTAAATCCTTTTTCTTTCAATTAATCTTTAAAAGTGCTTTCAGCTGATATGAATTAGACCAGTTCCTCAAGCAAAATATCAAAATCTAGTCAAAGCCTATTAATCCCACTGGCAGTGCCTGGCAGCTCTGTATTTCCAGTAGTGTTTTCCTAAAATACAAATCCCCCCACCTTGTTTATTTATTTTTTTTTTAAATAAGTTAGCAAAACATTGGAAGATTAAATTTGATTCAAAGTGTTTCAGTGTTTTGCATCTTAATCTCATCTAATTTCTCAGACAGTGAGTTCTCAGCGACACTTGAGAAAATGTGACCTTTGAATTTTCTGTTGTGACGTTTTTAATCAGGCAGCTGGGGAAACCTTGAAAGCAAAGTTATCTCAGGTTTTTTTTTAGCAGGGCCCTCCTGTGGATTGGAAGTTATCAGCGTCTTCCAACTGGTATGCCATAGTTTTGAAAATGTTCCTTCTGAAGCAATTGCATCTGAACTTTTGGGGCTCTGCTGATGAACGGATGACTCATTTAGAAGCATTTTACAGGATAGCAGCAGGTCTGTTCTTAATCAGTTTTGAGCAAGGAGATCCAGGCAAATTTTAAATACTGTGCTTTCATTATAAAGTTGGGTTTTATTCATGAGATTCTCATTGACCTTTTAAGTAAGATACACAGTTACCATGCCAGAATTTCCAACAAACTGTGGGAGTTTTAGTAAAACTTTATTAACTTTTTTTCCCTGAAAAATGGGATATGTGGCTTCAAGTGAGTAGGGAATTAACTGAGAGTGCTTTTATTCTTCTGGGCCCTGCTCAAACAAAGCAGCATTTAGGCAATATTTCCATTTATGATTCCTCTGAGGGTCCAGGGCACAGAAACATTTCTCCATTTGACAAACTGGGAAATGTTCCTGTTGGGATTCTCTTTGGGGATGGCCAGAGACCTCTTGACATCTGGGCACTTTATTCCTTTTGATGCAGTGCATGTCCAGCAAACCTTTGGAATTCTCCACCTGTAGAATGGCAGTCACACAAGATATTCTGATCCCCACCCTCCCCACATTCTGTTGGTGTGAATGTTGTCTTAATCTGATTTAAGACATCCCTGGGGTAATCTGGAAGGATTAGCTGCTTCTGACAACTGGGAAAAACACTAATTTCCAAAACTATAGCATCCCAGTCTAGTATTCCTTTTGGGCTGACCTTACCAGACTTTATTTTTTTTTCCATGTAGGAAAATGAAAAGAATCAGAGTATCAGTAAGTATCATTGAAAGATCTGATCTCCTGGTGATCAGATCTCCTGCTGATACACGTTTGTGTCCTGTTAATTTCATGGGTGCTGTACCAAAATCACAGAGCAGATTGGCAGCCACTCACTGCGAGTTTGCTGGCAATATTCCAAGTGTTAAGGATAGAGGGAGTATAAAAGAGTTCATCCCATTTAAAACCAAATGCTTACCTATACAAGTGATATGGGATAGCCCCCCTGTAAAAAGAAAGAACAAAATATTACCCAGTTGTGTAAAACAACACTAGCATTAGTCCAAGGAAGTTATACTTGTAAAGCACAGCACTCACCAATCTCATGGATTCCATTTCTTTAAGGAAAACTGGGAAATGCTGTCATGGTACTGCTTATGTGTGTATGAGTATTTGTGTGAGATAGGAGGGAGCACCTACTCTGTCCTTGTCTGCTACAGAGGCTCTGCCTTGTGATTTCATTTGTTGCTCCCAAGCTCCTCTTACAGGAGTAGAGAGAATATTCATTCCTCATTCACCTTTTCCTGCCAGCCACTCTTTCCTGTGGCTCTGTCACTTCCTTGTCCCATCACCTCTTCTCAGAGTTAAAGGCTTGGAGTCTATTTAATCTCTCCCAGTGCAGAAACCATCTAATGTCTTTGACTTTTTGTCCTTCTCTGTGTCTTCACTGGGTTTTGCCTGTTCCATTTTGATGCAGTTCATGCAGGATTCAAATGTGGGGCTCATTCAGTGGCACAGAGCTGCTTTTCCTGCTATTCTTGGTTGCTTTCATACCTTACATTCTGTTTACCTTTCCAGCCTGCCGCAGGGCAATGAACAGATGTTTTTGTTGAGCAATCTGCAGCGACTCTATGATCTCTTTGCAGAATGATAATGGCTAATTTAGAGATTATCATTGCATATGTGTATTTAGTGTTGTTTTCCCCATGTGCATCGCTTTGCATTTATCAACATTGAATTTAATCTGCCAGTTTCTTCCTCCCTCAGAACTTTATGATCAGTTTTAGTTTTTACTACCCTGAATAATTTTATACTGTCAGCAAAACTGCAGATTATCCTTAGGGCTAATATTATTCAATATTTTCATTAATATCTGAAAAAAAAAAAAAGTTTCAGTGTGTGAATTTAATTTGCTAATAGCACAAAGCTGAGAAATCTTCATTTCAAAAGATGCTCAGCATATTATAGATTAATAAATATATGACTTTGGGCACTGTAATAATGAAAATCAAAGTAAATACGATAGTGTAAACCGCAAAGTCATTCTATTTTTACAATATATTGACACTATAAAACAATTATGCACATTTAAGAGTATATACAACAGTTCTTGTTGGGGTAGGAGAGTTCAGCAGAGGAGAAAAACCAAGCTGACACATCAATCAATCTGCAAATGGACTCTCAGCCACTGGACTTACATAGCTCTAAAAAGTCAGGCCTAGTCTTTGGAGATAACAGAAGCTGCATATCCTGCAGAGATAAAGAGGGATCAGTGTTATTGTGTGAGGTGCTGGATTGCCAGGTGAACCTCTGCTCGCTCATGTTCAATGGAGACTCATTCAAGTTAGAGACATGCAGGTCAGATAACCTGTGGACTGGGAAATTTGTCTACAAGAAGCATTTCAAGGAGGAAAACTGATTTCCCTTTATAAATAAACTGAGGAACAGAACCCTGTGAACTAATGGTGCCACTGGCACGGGAGCAAAGAAACATAAATTGATGTCACACTATATTAGGAATGGAGGAAGTACAACACAGTCTTTCTTGTGGGTTGATCAAGAAAGCAAGTTTTATTATTCCTGATCTTAATTTACAGACAGGTCTGAAAGGTAAAACTCTCATTGGTCATTAAAACAACACATCACCATTACCGGTCAATTGGGTACTACACCCTTTGACTCTTTATTGCAAGTAAACAAGAAGGATCTAAACAACACCTGCAAAGGTCGTTGTCCTTCTCCAAGGACTGTTTAGAGTCCTCCTTATGCTTTCTCAGGCCAGGGTGAGAACCTTGTGTGGCTTAGTTTCACACAGACTCTGTGCTCCCTGCTGCTTTCAGCATCCATAAGTTGATGATGGAAAGAGGTAACCTGGAAATAACTGAAGCATTCTATCAGCTGGGTGAGAAGCAATTGGAAAATGGAGCTTGAAGCCTTTGTGAAAGAGTTGGATTCCAGGATTGCCCCTCATCAGCTGACTGTCTGTGCCTTTCCAGCAGGAGCGGATGCCTCTCCTTCAGCATCCTGCCAGAGCTATCTCTTTACTGGAGGATCAAAAGGTGTCTCCTTGCTGCTGGAACCACCACTGGCTCTAAAAAGCATCAGGGAACAGGTCCTGCTCTCCAGGAAGTGCTGGATAAGGATCGTGCTGCCGAGAAACTCCTGGCCGTGATGTCAAGGGTTGGCAGCTAACCAAGCTCAGATGATTCTCAACGAGCTATTTCTCATTAATATTTCTACATATGGAAGAAAAATACTTCAACAGCAGCACAGAATGCTGGAGTTCTCCATCTGTAGAAGAACCCATGCAATGAACATGAACAGTTTCTTTACTGTGTATTAGAAGGTCGGAATATTTTGACACATATTTAGGTTTTAGATTTTGGCAATTCCCCAACAATAGCAGTCAATTTATGCCAGTCATAGAAATAAGAGATTTGTATTGTGGATGCATGGAAGTCAGAAACCAAGGAAGTAGAATTTTTTTTTTTTCAAAAAAATATATTCTTTTAATCTTGAGTCCACAATTATCTTGATTTTGGAGAGACTTAATGCTGCAAAAACCAAAATCAGTGCTGCTTTATCCCACTTGTTTGGTTTTGGTGGGGGTGGGTTTTTTTGTTTGGCTTTTGTTTGTTTCTTTGTTTTTTGTTTTGGCAGATTTTTTGCTTGTTTTGATATGGCATTTTCTGCAATGAAAAATTTACTAACCCTGATAAATTTCTTGCCTTTGCACATGCCACTTTGCAAGAGCAAAAAGTAAATATAAAGAGCATATTAATATAATGAAAAAATGCCATGGAGAGCTCTGAAAAGAAAACATTTAAGGGAAAAACATGCTTGGAAGAGTGCTGGCAATGCAGTAACCACAATCTGCTCAAACCAAAAGGCACTGTGAATTTTTCTTCTTTTATCTTTTGTTGGAGTGAACAGTTCAGGGTCCTCTCTACCAGCTGACGTGAAGAGGACAAAGGCCACTTGAAATCACTTTTACTAGGAACATTTGAGTCTCCTTTCCTCAGCTGTGACTGCTAGGACAGCTCTAGTTCAAAGAGGCCAGGATGAAGAGTAAGGTAAGAAGTACTAGAAGGGATTTCTCTTTGGAGTTTTTTTCCCCCCTTTGTTTCTATTCCCCAGCATGGTGAGTCCAGGGTTGTCATCAGAACCTCCCAGCCCCGGGGCTTGCTAAGAAAACCTCCCTTTCCTGCCCAGCTGGGCATGGAAACCATCCTCGTGCTGGGTTCATGTGCTCTGCTGAGAGTACAGACAATAATAAATCGGTGCTGTTTCAATGGACTTTATGTACAACCTGAGGCAGAGATTAAACCTGGGGGTTTTTTGTCCTGTTTGTGTAAACCTTATTGAGGAAGTTGCTGTCACACTTCACATTCCATTTATTTTCTTAACGGTTCATAAAAGATTACTAAGTGAATAATGAATGTTTCAATTAAGCACACAGATTGTTATCTAGGTCAATAAATTGCTTTCAAACCTTGGTAATGTCTGCTGGTGATGTAACAATTTTGGAATAGTCATTACAGATGCTTTTAATATATATTACTGTTTATTAACCCTCTGTTAACCATTTACAAATAAATCTCAGCTAATATAAAACACGATAAAAATCCATTCAATGGAGAATGCCTGTTATTTTAACATAATTTTGCACTCCTGAATTCTCCAAGTATATCAGAAAGAAAATGGCCATGGAGTATCTTAGACAAGTAGGAGAGAAGTAGACATTTATATTAATCTAACAAAATTTCATGGAGTCAAGGTATATGGGATATAGAGCTTGTTCCATTTTCAGTGGAGAGGACAAGCATGAGCAGAGAACAATTCATCACAATGCTCTTACCACAGGATTAATTTTCTGCTGTACTAAATATAAATTGGCCTGAAGAAAATCATTTCAGCAGAACTGGATATGAGCACCATAGCTGGCCAGAAAATTGGCTGACTGATGGTAAACAATGAAGGCATCAAACTGTCAGATTGTAGCTAAAAAATATAGCAGAGGAATCTGTCTTAAGATTGTTCTTATTTAACATCACCTTTAGTGATCAGGAAGAAGGCATGAGAAGCATATTAGTTAAATAGGCAGATGGTGTTGCCTTGGAAGCCAATCAAACTTTAGAGATGACAGAAATATTGCTAAAGATCTGTAAAAGTCAGGAAAAAGGATGAGGGACAAAAACAGGAACAGTTTGAATTGGTGGAGATGAAAGTGTTGAGGGGAAGATGTCCCAAAGCACTGATGGAGAAGGAGCAGTGACAGCAGGAAGACACAGCTTCAAAACCAGGACAGCTCTTTGGAGCTAACAGTGTTGAGGTAGCTGTGATCATGAAAAATGGAAGTAATATCTCTGCTAAGTGTTTTTTTCCTATAGATATTACTGCCATCACCATTTTCTAAGTGCATTTTGTATCTCTCTCAGCCCTAGATGAAGAGTTAAGGTGGCCTCAGATTTGTTGACAAAAAGCTGTCAGGGCCAGCCTGAGGCCCCGCTAATTAGCGTTGTTAATTATAGGGTAGATTGGCACATTTCTAGCTCTACCTCTCCCAGTAAAGACCCAGTTACTTTTAGGTCAGAGGTTGTGGTGCTGTAGAGAGCAGCTCACTACAGATATGAGTGGTTGAAGAAAGAACCAAACAATCACCCTGTAAGTGCAGAGACCTGAAATCCGGTAGCAGAGAGGAATGCTAATTAATTCACTCAATCACCAGCAGCTACAGCCGTGGGAGTAGCTGGTGGACATCATGATGCTAATCATGCCGGTCTGTTAATGACCTGAGAGACACAGACTCTGCACAGCAGCCCTTGGTGTCTCCTCAGCCAGCCTGCATTAGGATGAGGATCTTCTCCTGCACCCTCCTCTGGCACTGCAGCACTGCTGATGGACAAGTCTGGAGGCAGCTTCCACCTTCATGGAGTGCCCTCAACAGCCCCCCTTTCCCCACAGAAAATGAAAATTTGGCAAATCAAACACATATTATGCATTTGAAGTAATATTTTGAATTTTCTATGGTGACATGTATGGAGTTACTCGTGTTCCCAGCCTGACTTATTTAGGATACGCATTTAGGATACACATGGAAATGCAATGTGGGCAGAGGGAAAGAAATGACCCCCTTGGGTGCTCATCCCACAGGATACCATGGAGAAGCAAATACACAGTGTCCCTGTAGTGTCCCTCTGGTGTCCAGGGTTAGGAAACTTGAAAATGCACAGATTCAAGGCGTGGGAACCTGAACCAAAATTCAGATACATGTTCAGATGGAGTAGTTCTGATGGGCCCACTGCTTTGACCAGGTAGCAATTCACTCAAGGCTTTTTATATTTTAAATAGATGTTTTAAAATTGGCATTCAAGAAGAGATATTTTAACTCAGCCTCAAGATCTTTGCATTTTCTGGGGTAGAAGCTTAGCTAACAAAGCAATTGCAAGGACTGTACAGGGAATGAGTAATAGATGGATGTAACAGTGGTACAACACTGTGAATAGAAAAATACTGAAGATTTTAGAAGTGCTGGAAAGCTTCCTGTGTGTGTTCCTTTAAACACATACATTTTCTGGATCCAAAATCTCTCTGTGCCTAAGAATGAATGCAGTGATTTTTATATGAGGCAGCACTAAAAATCACACTCGAATTCCCAATCAAAAAATGAAAGGTTCTGATATTTACCATTAACCCAAGACAACAAAAAAATAGGGTTTGTTCATTTGAAACCTCCTAATGTGACGCCAATTGCATTTAGTTATGGAAAATCTAAATAAAACACATATCAAACATAAATAAATACAAATCAAGTTCTTAATCAGAGAATTGGTACAGCAGTTTCCATCCCCTGCAATCAGCTCTGTAATTGCCTCACCTGGAGCTGAAATGTCATCTCTCCAGAGAGGAGGAGGACTGTTGTCTTTTCAAAAGATGATAATGGATTTGATAGAATATGATTCACAAAGGATTTTTTCGTTTTCTGGCATAGCGTATTAGAGAAATTTTAGTGAGATAAGTGAATCCCTTTTAACTGTCCTTGAGTGAAGAACAAAATGGGAAGTGAATTGAGAGCCAACTACAAATGCTCTTTATTACCATGTCAAGAGCAATGTCCTGTTCTGCGGGAACGTGCTTAAACCATCCCTGCCACCCTGACCCTTGTGTCAGAGAGCAAATTGTGTATTGCTATGCAAGATTTGTGGTTCTGCTTGCTCTGAGATGAGGAGCCCCTCGGGAGAGACATTCAGCCATGGCCTCAGTGCCAGGAATGGCATCTCTCTTATGAGATCCCCAGAGGGAAATTGAGTCCTGCTTATTTCATTTTCATGATAGGAGCAGTAGGAGGAAGCAAGGGCCTACTGAAGCCTTTTTCTTCTGTCATCATCTATTATGCTGTAAATTTCAACATGTCTTTTAGGACTGGCACTGTTGACTGTAAACAGAGCTCTTCATCATCCCCTCACAGCTTGCAGGTTGCCTGCTTGGAGAGAGCAAATTTGACTAAACTGTCAAAACTTCTTTCTGGGTTTGATATTCTTCCACCAGCCAAACATCCCATGAATCCCCACTATTTTTCAAGTACTATTTGTCAAGCATTTACTCATGTGTGCCATTAGGATGTGGTGGGCATGTTGTTGTTAATGGAAATTTTAGAATGTTTTCCATTTTCTGTGATATATACTTCTATGGCCTGACCACAACCCCACTCCATGAACAGGTATTTATTTTAGCTTCCCTCCTGTCATTAGTGTCCTACATGTAAATTAAGTCCTGCTCATCAGGACAGACAGAGTTCCCAAAGAAGGTGGTGCAGAGACTTTCCCCAGTGACTTTGGGAAGAAAGCAATGAAGCACAGCAGAGAAGGAGCTCTAACATAAGACAGCAGCTCCAATCTTTCCCAAATTACACAGCTCCGAGGAAATACCCAGTCCCCATGCATGGGAACATCAGTCATTTTATCTTGGCAGAGTAAATAGATTGTGCACCAGGACTGTGCTTCTGACAGCTCCTCAGTGCAGATAAAACCAATAATTGTGCTGATAACAGAGTCACTAAGATGGATAGGTGTGTGTGAGGAGAAGCCAAGCACATTTTGGAGACACATGGCCAATTTAGCAACTTTCAAACTGTTTGACTAAAATGTAAATAGAACTCCTGATGTCAAATGTAGCTCAATAAATACTAAACACTGAACAATATGGCCATCAAGCATGGAAAATCAAGTTACACAAATTGTAAGGCTCTCTACTTGGCAAGGACTTTTTTTTTTAGCTTAAGATTTAGTAGCAAAACTAATATTTTTAAATTGTACCAGATGTCTCTTCCAAAAGGAATGTGCAAATTATCTCCTGGCAGATGACATAGATACTTATACTCACTCCTAATTTCATACAGAAGGAATGTGTCTGTGTGTCTAGAAGGACATTTATGTGAATTCACATGAATGTCTGCACATGTCCAAAGGTATGACTTAAAATGTTAAAACTAAAATGTCAAATTCAAACAAGGAAACCCAAATATTTCCCCCAATGAGTCAAACTTTTTACTGTAGGTCTGTGTATACTATGCATAGCTAAAATAGAGAATAAGTAATGACAATCCTTGGATGGGCACAGCTACTGGGAAAATTGAGCATTTAATTTGGCAATATCCCAAAGCAGTCTGTCTAAAGGGGTTTAGGTTGATAGAAATAGGAAATTTGGGTATGCACTCTGTTTCCTAATGAGAAATTCAGTGGGACTGTTATAGCTTATTACAGAAAACTGTGAATAAACTCCAAGTTAGGGCTACTTGACCTGCTCTTAATACAACACCAAGCACCCAGGACTCACACAGGACCCAGTTATCACTGCCCTTGCTCACAGCAAGGCCCCCTGCACCATCATCTTCACAAATCTCCCACAAATGATCTGTTTTCCTTCCATGTTCTCTTTGTGCCTTTCCATTTTTAGCTCTTTTGTTCCTCCTTTTCTCTCAGACCACACTCAGTCAATAAAGGCAATGCTTTATTCAAGGGTGGATTTTAAGAGCTACAAAACCTAAGTGAGGCAATGCAGGAATCCTGGTTTG